GGTTTTCCCCGGGTACTCCGGTTTCCTCCCACAGGGAAAAGTTGACAGGGTGGGTTAGGTAAAAGGGCCCACAGTAATTGGCATATGCTGTTGTGGTGACCCTGCCCTAGTTGGCGAAGCTAATAAAAAAAGAAAAAAAAAAAAAATAGAAATTATCTAGAAATGATAAAAATACTTGCCTTGAAACTCCAGACACGACTCCCAATGCCAGGTTGAGATACTTGTCTTCATACGAAGACATTCCATCATTACTAGCACTATCAGTTTGCAAAATAAAGCCAAGAACATCTTCAGGATGCGATTCAAACAATACAATTACAACACAATACATTACAATGCTCGTGCGTTCTTGTGCGCGATAATCAGGAAATTGCTGTTTGTTTTTCTACCTAAGCCAATCAAAATTCGTATCTAGGGTAAACAAACACTCCGGAAGTGATTCCTGCAGTCTTTTACCAGGAAACTGTACCAAGAATTTGGCATCCGAAGTTGGCCGAACACTTTCCGACCATGAGAATTGGCATAATAAGCTTAGATTATTATGCCGATCAAGCAGAATTTTTTGGTGGTATTTTCATATTTCTACTGCAAATACTCGCGGAGTTCTTTAACTCTTTCTCAACAGGCTGGTTTCGCATTACATTTCGATTCAATTTTTCTAATATAAATATCTTGGCGAGTATTTACCCCCCTTTTAAATAAATGCCACCATTGAAATCCTCATAAAATAACCTTTCGAATGGGGGGTCAAGTGCCGTCAAAACATTACACAAACCGAAACAATCATATATTTACTCACCGCTTGGCCAAAGATTCTAAATTTCATATCCACAAGATCTTGAATACCCCTTGAACTTTTCGTTATTTGCTGAACGGCTATACGTGTAATAATACTCTGTGTATTCAAGCGCTTTCGTGTAGAAAGTTTCGTATGTATATGCCGACTAGAAATATTTATTTTGAATTTTTCAAAATTTCGGGTTTTACTCGCACTTGCGTGCATTGCACAATAATTGGCCAATAAGAAGCATGACGTCAAACTCAGGCGGGTAGGTGCAATTTGACCTTGCGAATCCATTTCTGGCCTTTCCAGGGTCATACGATACAAACGTCGCATTGTTTTGACGGTTTTCAGTCGTATTTCCGGTTGGGATTAATGCACTTCGAGCTCACAGTCGGACAAGAAATGGAAATATATTGATAAAAGATACAGATTTGTAGATTCAGGGTTGCAAATAACACTCCAAAAACACTATTTAATGGGGATTCGAACAAGACTATTACAAAGACAATATGTTCGATGGGGCCGAAGTTATTTTTGGCGAAAGGTATGGCTAGTCTATAATAATCTATATTTTTGTTCAGACAATTGCATAATTTGATACAATATGATCGTTTTGACTTTCAAAGGCCCATAAATCGTTACAATACTAATAATGACTACAACTATCGTTTGGAAATAGTTGATATTTTATTTCTGAATCGAATGGTGGTATTTCTGTCTTCATATCATGCACTGAACCAAAGGTATGAAATTTCTAGCCGTCAATCGCTCTGCATCGACGCGAATAGGGCCCTGTTGAGAAATAGTTAATATTTAATCTTCTCATCATATACGTCGGAAATTAATATTGGCGGATTGAATTGAGTTAATTAAAAGAAACAGTCGTCTTTATCGTCTTTTGATCCATTTCTTGGTAGTGACGGCATTCTGAGAGTTGGAGGTTGCCTTCGACATTCCAGTGTTGGATATAATGTAAAGTTTCCTATTATATCCTACCTATTATATTACCCATCTTATCATAAGATACTACCATGAGCAAGTTGGCCATCAGGGAAGAGGGATGACTCTCAATGAAATACAATCGAATGGATATTGGATCATCAATGGTCTTTCCGCTGTTGGTAGTTACATCTCCAAGTATTTTCTTTGTTGGAAGTTATGAAGATCAGCTGAAAGTCAGAAAATGGCCAATCTTCCAGAAGATTGTTTGGAACCAGCACCTCCTTTCACTTTTTGCGCAGTCATAAAGGAACAAAGAAAAGAAGTTAAAAGATACGGTATTACGGTGTGCACTTCACATGTATGTCATCCGACTAATTGATTAAGCCTTACGTAGGTTCATATTTCGAAGGGGACCAGTTCGCCAGATCAGGAGTGATCGAGGTACGAACTTTGTTGGAGCAAGTAAAGAACTTAAACAGGCTTTGACCGAATTCAATTATACAAATATAATAGCAGAATTACAGAAGAGGAATTGTGATTGGATAGAGTTTAATTTTAATATTCCTTCCGCTAGCCACATGGGTGGTGTGTGGGAAAGACAAATTAGGACAGTACGTAGTGTACTTTCTGCATTATTACAAAGTAATGGGATCTCAACTTGATGATGAGTCACTGAGAACTGTGATGTGTGAAACGGAAGCCATCGTTAACAGTCGTCCGTTGACCATAAATGATTTAAATGATCCTGATTCACTTCAACCGTTAACTCCAAGTCACCTTGTGCAAGCCATGCAAGGATTTGCATGTTGGTGATATTGTCCTCGTCAAGGAACCAAATCTACCAAGGAATTTATGGGAACTCGCCCGCGTTATTAGAGTGAATAGTATAGCAAAGATGGGCATGTGCGTACCGTGATGCTGGCCATGGCAGATGGTTCTTTAGATGGCAAAGGAGTATGGACAAGGTCACAAAGACATTTGGAACAACCAATTGATAAATTGATGTTGCTTGTTGAAGGTCAAGACGCGAAATCTGTCCTCGTCGAGGATCCATAACGTACATTTCAGAAATACATTCAATTACCTAAATTATTAGCAAATTTTATTTAAAAAGAAAAACGTTAAAAAAACAGTGAAATCAGCGATTTCAGAGGAGCCATGTAAATGTATATATTAGCATAATTAGTTATTCAAATTGTATTGCATGTGCTAAGACGTGACATGCCAAACTTAGTTATTAGGAATTGAGAACTAGATGTATGAACAACCTTTGGAAGCAGTTTAAACATTGGACAAATATGTAAGTTATATATTTAGAAATTGAACTTGATTTTATTTGATTTTAGTTTAGCTTAATCTGATATTTATTGTATTAACTTTGTAGTTTACAAATTCAAATTATACAACTAATGAGAAAGTCTACGCAAATTCAGTAAAATAGTCTAAACAGAAGCCACAACACCTCTTGAAAATCAGTGATAGATCTTGAGAGTCGAATCGCTTCAGCTACATAATCCTTAGGGAAATTGTGTTTATGTTTGAGGCCTTAATAGTTAGCCATAATACAGTTAAGTTTAATAGTGTGCCATAATAATACAATTAATCTTAACAGTTAGCCATGTAAGCCATGACAATACAATTAACCTTAATAGTTAGCCACATATAAGTTTAATAGTGTGCCATGAAAATACAATTAAGCTTAATAGTTAGCCATGATAATACAATTAAGCTTAAGCCATGTAATGCAGTTAAGTTTTAATAATTGCGTTTGTTAATAATGTTGCTCGGTTTAATATTGGTTTTTGATAATACTTTAAGTTTAATAGTGTTTCTGCTTTAGGTCTGTTTTTTGCTTTAGAATAAGTGTGGTGTTGAGTTCAGGGGTAATAATTGGTTTTAATTTATGTTCTCTTTAATGAAAAATATATCTTTTGAAATCAGCATATATGTGAATGGAGGGCACTGCTGAAGGCACTGTGGTTGAGACTGTGGTCAAGACTATGCATGTGACTCAAAAGGAGGGCACTGCCGAAGGCACTGTGGTCAAGATGGGGTGGATGTGATTCCGAAGGAGATGTCAGCTTCCAAGTCACAGGCTAAGTACAAATGCCTCAAGTGGTCTTTATTTACCAAAACCATGTACAAATAGCATGAAAAATAGTTTTATGTATGACGGAGCAAACATTTGGAATTCTATACCAAAAGAAATTAGGGAAAGCAAGTTACTTTCTTCCTTTCGAAATAAAATCGCTGCTCACATTAGTGCTTGGTAACCTTTGTAAATATAATTTAGCTGTAAATAACAAAAAACATTTGTTATATCTTTTAAATTTATATATTACTGTAAAGAGCTTAACTTATTATATTCTGCATGTTAAATAATTTTCTGGCACATGACCCCCCCCCCCCTTGGAAATCACCAACGGTTGACGGGGTCAGCCTGGATAAATAAAGCACTACTACTAAATGCCCATTTCCTGACTGCAGTTCAGAAATTATTCATCTTCCCCGGCATATGAGGAAAATTCATCACTGGAGCAAGGAAAGATCTAAAGGCATTTTAAATGCATTTAACTTGCAGAAGCTCAAATAATCATCACCTCCAGAAAAAAGGCAAGAAAGTTTAAAAGAAAGATGTGCCCAGTTAAGTATTGCAATAGTGTAGTAAAATGAATACACAATCATTTTAGTGATGTACATAAATTTAAACGAGGTAGCACATAGTACAAAGACGCCCTTAAATGTGCCATTGTTCATGATACTGAAGATGTGATTGACTGCGAAATGAAAGAAACTGAGGATTCAGACTCCACTGAAAAAGAATCTTTGGATCTTGAAGAGGAATTATGTTATGCTTCTAAGAAAAGGATGCCAAATAACCACCCCAGCATATTCCAAAACGTTTATGATGAATCTGATGAAGATGTTGAGGATGGAGTTAATTGGGCAAGTGTGACACCAGTGGAAAATATGGATTTCCCACATGAAGACGATGTTATTGATGACGGCAATAATGGAAATGATGGTAATAAAGATTATGATCATGTTGGCGATGATGATGGTAGTTATGGAGAGAATGAAGAAGACGGTGAACACAGTTACCTCGAAGGTTCATTCGAACCTCCCCAGTTATCTAAATCTTCTGATGAGACCATCGCCCTTTCAAATGGAAAAGAAAGCACAATTATCTTATCAAATTTTAAGAATTGGCTGATGGGACCTGATGGTGGGCGAAAGGACGATAAAGTTGCAAGTCTGTGCAAGCGGCAAGTTCAGCTAGTTGTAGAATTTATCAATCCTGAAAGTTCTTCTATAAATAGTTTATTAATGTCAAAGAACGTATTGAGGGACGATTGGTTAACAAATTTTGAAAATTTGAAAAAAACAGGAACCCTCAAATCCTATTTGGGAACACTTAATCAATTTTATATTTATGTTCAAAGTGAATGCACCAACATTTTGCCCACCCTAGACATTACTCAAGCTGAACTGGTCAGTCTATCAAATCAAGTAAAGCTGTGAGCCAGGTCATACTGCAAATCAATTCAGGATTGGTTTGGGGAAAAACGTGTCGAAGACCTGTTTAATAGGAAAACTCCTGAACAAATCTGGAAATTTGACATTTCTGAAACCACACGAAATGCAGTAAAACTTCTTGGAGAATTTAGCGAAAAAGAGCAGGTCTTAACTCAAGCTGAATACACAAATGTATATGACTATTTGCTCACTGAACTATGTATCAACAACAGAAGTCGATCTGGTACTGAGTTCAATCAAGCTAGTCAGGAGGAAGGGTGCTTTGCTGTTCGACTGAAAAATCATAAAAAACATACACTACGCATGGCCCAGTTAATCTTGTTATACAGGGTATGGAAACATTCAGAAAGTTGCAGTTGTATAAAACATATACAACGATGCCGCACAACAACTTTCGACTTCATGCGCTGCTATTGTACATCCACGTCATAAGAGGACAAACGACTTGTTCTTAAAAGTCTTTTTGCCCAAAATATAGAAAAGAACTCAATTTCATTACAAGAAGTGAGAAATGTGTCAGAGGGTAACACAGTATTGAAAAACATTTCCGGTTCAAAAATAAGGGACAAGATACGTTCTTTCTTTACACAAGCAATGGCATCAAGCAATGAAGATGATAACGAAAGTGGAAGTGACAAAAACGATTGTTGTTTACCACCGGCTGAAAAAGAGATGCTGGGACAACGTCTCAAGAGAGTTGGAATTGATGAAACTTCAGGTATGTGCATTTTAGTAATTGTATAGGAATCCTCTGGTCATGTGGATTGTGTAGGTGGAAATATTCTTCACTTTCTGAAGAAATAAGCATATTCAGGAGTTATGTACCAGACTTCAGTAATCTTATTCTTTCAATACTAGACTCCCCTTATTAAGTATTCATAGCACTTTGCATTGTGGTCATTATAGTGGTGTCACTGATAAAGATAGTGGTCGGCGAATGATAATGTAGAATGTTTTCGCGATAATTTTTCTGTTGCTATCGCACACCTGACCCTGGTTTTGTAACCGTTATTGCATGGGTCAGGACAAAAAATAAGGCACTGATCTTGAAAATTAGTGATAGCACTATAACTACAGTGCACAGTGCCTTTTTTAAGGAATTTTCACTGGGGGGGGGGGGGCAAAACAGGAAAAAAAGGCAGAACGAAAAATATGAGCTGTCGAGGTTTGGCGAACACGTGAGTCTGAAGAGAGATTTTGTAAAACTTTAATTTATTAACTTCACCTATATAAACAATAACTTCAACTCTTTGTAGCTATAATCGTACAACTGTAACAGCTATTGATTTAAATTGAATTGAACCAGTGGCGTAACCAGACCTTAATTCTTTTTTTTGGGGGGGAGCGAACCTCGCCTTAGGAGGGTGAAATCTAGGGTCCCTGAATTGCGATTTCAAGCATTTTAGGAGTGAAATTCCGAAGAGTTCCGAAGATTATAAAGTACGTCGAAGACATGAATTTTTCCAGACATTTCTACTCGGAATTAAATAAATTGGAAAAGTCACCTTGAAAAATAGGAGGAGGGGTCAGTGTCACCTTATTTCCTCTCTGTGATGCTGGGGGGGGGGGGAATCCCAATGTGCTTTTGATCAGAAATGTTGCATTTAAATCATTTTAGGTTCTATGAGACACCATTTCCGCATTCTCAAAATTGCGTTGCTTTTTCATACGATACAGAATAAATCTGAGAAGAAATATTCATGCTATGATGATGCATACATGTATTTAACAGTTAAAAATCTAAACTAAATCTATTCTTCTTGGAACCAGCATTTTATCGGATTGTTTGCATGAAACCTATCGCTATTATGAAATACTCGGTGAAGAACAATATGTATTACACACAAGATGGCTGTGGAGGAGGCTATGGAAGGGCATAATCTCATTATCAAGTAAATCAACTGCAATTCTGACAGCAATCATGAGCAATTCTGCTTCGCACTTCGGGGGCAGAAATGGCTGTACTGGGGGGGGGGCAAATTCTTTCCCTGGGGGGGGATATAGTTAACAAAGGCACTG